GTACTCATAGTCGTGCATGCCGTAGTCGTTAGACCATTGACCTCGCATCCCTACAAAGCCGGGACGGAGCACGCCGGGTTCTCACCGGACCAGGCTCTCACATCACCAAGCGCGAGGCGCCGTGAGGCATTCGGCTAGTCGCATGAAGGGTTCGCTGCATCCTGCTAAGGGTGTTCGGCATCTTGTGCTTACGTCCTTGCGTACGGATGACAGCTGCGTGTGACTTGATTTATTTTCTGGTGCGTTCATTTCCAGAGACAGTTGTAAGCACTGTGTAACTGCCTCGAGGGTGCTTGACCATTTTAACACAACGTGGTGCGCTCATCCCCCTTGTGCGGAGTGAGGGTTTTTGACCCCGCACAACAGGATCTACTCGACCACCATAATGGTTACCGCCAAAATAAAAAACAGAGGTAAAAAAAAAACCGGTAACCTGGTTGCCGAGTTCACGAAGTGACTTGGCTTGTGTAATAACGTTGTTGCCAAGTGACGAAAACCCAATCCCGATGGCAAACACCGAGGGGGGGACTTGTTTTACAACGTCGTTGCCAAGCGACGAAAACCCAACCCCGACGGCAAACACCGGGGGGGGGAACACGGAGGGGGGCTGCGTTAAACGTCAACAAACAGGAGCGGTTGACGTTAGTCTCGGAATGCAGCACATTGTGCTAATGCACACGGCAGGATCGTAGCGCCTGGGAAAATGTTGGGCTTGCTACGATCTGAGGCGCTGTTCGCTTCCGTAGAGTATGTTGTTGGGTTCACCCCTTGCCCACCTCTCCTTGTTTGCTTCCAAGGGCACCGACTTCTACATGACGAGTTTCAACGCCCAGGCTTTGATAGACGAGTGGAACAACGGCATGAATCTCGTCGACATCCTGAAGATATTACTGCCACAGGTTAGGGCGAACGCTGTGCCGTTGCCTGAGAGTCATGAAAGAGCGCTTCGTGTGCAATGATGCAGAAGACGGTATCATGAAAACGTATGTATGAAAGACACCGCAGGCCTCCCTGTGTGAAACGCCATGAATTTTTGCATCGCTTTTTTTCCTACTTTGCGTTTTTCTTGTGCTCTCGGAAACCAGCGGTTCAATGGGCTCACCAATCCGCAATACAGTACAGTGCACGACCAACGCCCAACGGCAGTTGTCATGTCGCATTGCTTTCCACTTTGCCTTCCGACAGTAGTGACGATTCGTCGAATACAACGGTAATTACTCATTTGTGTGACGCTTGGAAGGGGTCGAAAGCGGCAACGCAAGCTGTTCTGCTGCACTTCGTGTGTTCTGAATGTCTCCAGCTGTCGTCAGATCGGAACGTGGTGTCTCTTATCGAGAACAACTTAACCTACGCGCAGAAGCTGGAGCTGAGGAGCGAACTTGGCCAGATACCAGACACCCGAGGTACCACCGGTCACATCCTGGGACGACATTTCTTCCTTGCCCTGAGAAAAGCATCATTTGTGACCCTTGTCGAGTAGAAAACACTGCTGACTTGCACATTCGAAAACGTTGGAGTAAATCGCATTTGGCGATAACCCCGAGAAGACCATCATCCCGATGGCGAGGTATGTCATCGCTGGGGTTCGCATTTCCGCTGCGCATGGTGGTTTGACGAAGACGAGAGAAAGCCCTTGTTTGTCGTATTCGCTGCCGTTGTCTACGTTTGACCACCGGCTGGCAACTGGTGACGGCCATGTCGGCAAGAATGAATTATCCCCCAAGCAATATCTGCCTCAAAAAGACTAGCACCCTCGTCTCTCCCCCTGCCCTGCCGTCATCGACGCCTCATTCTTCCCTTCCCTTCTGTCCTTCATGTGAAGTATACCCTTTTACGGCTGACCTTGTCAACCATATTGCTTGGCCCCACGATCGCTCTCTCAGACAACTACACTCGTGCCACGACCACGCTACCACGTCTGTTTCTCGTCACAACACAAAGCTAACACGCACCGGTTCGGCCGACAACACGCATGTAGGCCTGGGGCCCTCTCGTGGGCAACCCGACGAACACGTACTGCCTGGATACGTCGGACAGGAAGCACCTTATCGCTGCGGAGCGGCTGGCCATGATCAACCACGCGGAAAAGGGCCACGGAATCTCGGGAGCGACGGGAAGGCATGACACAAGCCAGGTGCGCGCTTGTCCGCTCTATATTGTGTAGTGGCCTCGTGCTTCGGATGAGCTCCCTTGAACGCGCACACGCATAGCTTCGGGCTACTCTTGACACTAGGCGCTGACAAATCAGGCGCCGATAAACAGCAACAATATTGCGAGTCGTCACTTGAGTGTTTGATCACAAACAGTGGGGCATCCGCAGGGGACCATCTGATTCTCCACCTTTGGCGCATCCCACTTTTCTATTTTTTATGGTGATCGTGGTCCTTTCGCGTATTTGAAACTTGCTGCGCACCGACCCCCGTGGGTCACGGTTCAAGACCAGCGACTAGGTATCACAGGTACCCAAGGAACGACCGCACTAAGGCAGGGTATATGAGCACAACAGCCGATACAGCGAAGGTCCCATGCATAACCTCGGAGGGGGGCACGAAGCGCATTCATGTGGACTCAATGCAACCAGTCGCTCTCAGGTCAATCGATGGGCAAAATCTGGCATCTGGCTCGATGCGGCCACCACCGACAGACTTGGGCTTGGTACTTGCCTGTCTGAATCGAAGCCTTTGGAGAGGAACCCGCAGAAACAAACTCCGTGGGTGATGACCGCTTGCTTGTGACACGAGCATTAAAAAGTGTTGCCGCAGACCGACCAATCAACCATATTGTGCGATTGGTTGTACCCATCAGACTTTCCACGAGTCATACAGCAGTATCAGTTGTTCTGTTACACACCACCCCCGCGTGGCCTTGCCAGTCTGTCCGCCTGCATGATTCTTCGCCTCTCACCTCCACCTCCGCCGCCTTATCATTTCCCCCCACCTTCGTCGACCTGTCGTTTTCCCTTTCCCACCCCATCTTTGATTGCGTACTTGCACCCCCACGTATCTGACAGAGGGGCTACTGGAACATCTTCCGCAACGAAACCTTTAACGGCCTTCCGTTTGCCGGTCGAGGAATGGAGGGGCGCTGGTTCGTGAACAACCCTTTCAAGGGAAAGGTGCGACTGGACTACGTCTCAACGACTCGCCCCTTCCCGGGAACCAGGCCTCTCAGCGACCGCCGGTTCAGCCAGGCAAGAAAGATCGCGGTTACTGTTTAAACGGTGTCTGCCTTCAGTCAGAATCGACTTCGCTGACCACACAGCGCTTCAGGCGTCCTGGTTTGAGTGACACGGCACTACGGTCAGGTGGGACATGACGCTCGTAGCTTTGTTTTCAAACCAAGGCCCTCCAAAGTCTCGACCAGCTTCACACGAATCGTCTGAAGAGATGTGTTATCTGTTGGCGTGTTGCCAAGACGTACCTTCCTCGAACATGGTATTGCTAACCATCGGACTGCCCGGGGCCCCGGGTGTATTCCCACGCACGCGCACCTGACCCCGCCGTTGTACGCCTGATCGCATTCCCCTTTGCGTGATCACGGGCTGTGGAGTAGCTGCTGACCTGCCTTGACCTGGGGGATGTGCAGAGGAGCACGGAGAATCCCTTCCTGTTCGAACAAAGCCCAGAACAAGCGGCCACTGCGGAGAGAGTCGGCTCGTGTCCGTGAGAAGTGCCAGCACCCTTACTGGGGTTAGTGTGGGTTAAGGTGGAGTATTTTGTGTCTCTTCGGGAACCACCTACATATAGCGTGTCCAGGTTTATAGGAACTTTATTCAGGGGGATTCTCCCTTCCCCAACAGCACCCTGTTCCCAGGATGCTTGGCGAACTTGCTTCTTCATCACCCTCTACGAAACCTTTCCCTCCTGAAGACTACTAGCCATTGATTGCTTTACGCCGCCCTTCGTTGCCCGGGCCCGTCAATAAACGACCTAGGTCAGCGCGGTCTCAAATGTTCAGATGACCTCCAAGGCGGCAAGCATCGTCACTACAGCTGAAGATACTGCGCCCGCAACAAGCCAGCCGAAATGGGGCCAAGCAGAGAGTACCGAAAGTCACCATGGGAACGGGTACTGCTACGGCAGCTGGGGAGCCCTTGCTTTGTTCACCCCGCGTAGTGCTCAAATCTCTCACTATGATCCCAGCGCTGCCGCAGGTAGAGGGAGAAGGCGTCGGCGTTCGTGGGGACCGGTCGTTTCGGAGTAGAAGCTCCGATCAAGGGTGAGAGCAGGCAATGACGGCAGCTGTCCCGCCGTCCAAGTAACCAAGCGGTTGACTGTGTAGAGAAGGTCGCCTTGTGCTTAGAGTTGAACCCTTGCTGTTCCTGTCTCCCTTTTTCCGTTGACCGATGCCGGTTGACATACCGAGGACTTTTCTGATATGCCGGCGTGGCAAGACCCCTGGTGAACATGTTAATCGAAAACTTACGAAAATGTTATTTGATCGCGTCTGAGATGCTGTCCGCACCCGTCAAGGGACCGACCGGTACGTAGCCTGTAGACCCAATCGTGAGCTTACCAAAGAGCCTGCTGCCTCAAATCCAGCGGTATTGCGAGAGTTTCCGACTCTCACAGTACCTTCTTTGGACCACTTAACGACCCACTTCCCATAACGCAGATCGTCGAGTTTAGAGTCCGCGATTCTGCGGGAGATGGAGGCCGTACACGCCATGGTGAAGGAAGCGCTGTTGAGGCCAATCACGCCTGATCAGGTCCACAGAATCATTGCCCTGTCAACCTTTCACAAAAAGCCTACACGTCAGTTTGGAGGAGGCGATCAGCAGTCTTCAAGGGGCATGAACACCTCGCCAGCGTTGCAAAGACGGGCCGAAGTGCCAGCAATACGTACAACCGGCGTGTGTCTACCTCACCCACGACAGCGCGGTTCAATCAGCAGCTTAACAAACACAAGCACGAGAACGCTATACATCAATTACTCATAATATTAGTATGCGTGGCGCATGTCTGCTGACCTCTAGATTTTGGCCTTCCACGCCGAGTATCAAGTTTCGAGCAAATCCGAGCGAAGACGAGCGTGGGCCATCGTCGAACTTGGCTACCCTCTTGTGCCCGACGAAGACGTGGAAATCGGTCCTCGCGGTTCGGTACTATCGGGAGAAAGCAAAGGAAATGAGGGCGGCGACAAGGCAGGTTCTACCCCCGGCGGTGAGCGCAGCTCAGAGCTTGTGTCGATTGTCAGGCTTTAGGCTACATATTTCCGCTTGAATGGTGGATAATTCAAGTGTACACCCTTGTTGTGGTGCACCTTTGCCTTTCTTTTCATTTGCCTCTGTTTTGTTGGTGCAGTCCAATTTCCTTGGGTCTTTTGTGCTGTGACACGTTTTTGATGGTGGGAGAGGTGGGTGCAGCCGCCAGTCCCGCTTTGCGGCGACGTCGTGTCGAGTGCAAGGATGTGAATGGTATGCAACCGCGCCGAAACCTCCCCCCTCACCCCCACATGATGCGAAGGTCGAAGCAAACATGGTACCCATGCGTGTCCTGCCGAATGTGTCTGTCAGATGAACTCCCGCCAGACCCCAAGCGTGAAGATCCGCCTAATGAAGAGGTGGACGGCGATGGCGGGAACCAAAAGCAAAACGAGCTACATGACGATCTAGGTGACGTCGACGGGGCTGGGTATCACTGTGGCTTGCCTTTCAACAGCTCGGCATGTCACTAGTGCTTCAAGGCTTAGCCAACAGCCGCGATTTTTGAAGACCGAGGTTGAGGGTAAACTCACGATGAAAAGCCCGCTAATCGTGTGCCATATCGTGGGGGTCTTGCCTTTACACATCGGCGATAGATTGATCTGGTGTTACCTACCCGGAATCTCGCGCATGATTTTCCGCACAAGGCGTCGGGAACGCGATTGTGAGAGCGGCATCGCCAATATCAGCACCCGGATCCGGAATGAGCCCCCCGACTTGACGGAGTCGAAGCCTAGCTTCGGTGACAAGCAAAAACCGCTGTATCACATGCCGCTCAAGTGGCGAAAGGTCATCGGCAAACCTCAGGTTCGGTGCGAGGCACGGGTATTCAATACCCTCTTCTTTGTTTTTTTTGTTGTTTTCGACGTGTCGTTTCTCCTGCCATCGCTCGACTCCTCTAGCTAGCTGACCTGAAGGGGAGCGGGTTGCCCATTCAGAGTGCTGGGTCAGGAGAAGCACAGGAGTAGCCCTCAGGAACATGCGGGATATGGGTTAATCACGTTCTCTAGCCCTAACCACAAACAGCTGCAGCGTGGGCGCAGTCGTCGCTTTAGGAGCACTTTCGACACCAAATGCACCCTCGTTCCGCCGTCGCCGCGGCCGCCGTTGTACACTCGATCACAGTATGTTCAAGACTATAAGCTGGCCCTGAGTAAGCTGTGCGAGCTCAAGGTGCAGGTGCTTCATCACTGGCTCACGGCGAAGCAGGTCGGCCTCGGAATTGCAACCACGTGCATGTCCCTTTCTACTGTATTCACATCCATCTTGGATGAATATGGTGACTCGTTCGCTGCCCTGCAGATTTTGTTCGACAAGCGGGTTTCAAGGAGCGGTCCCATGGCTCCCGTACGCCGCTGTTAACGCAACAGACCGTTGCCCCCAATCTTTGTTACGATGTATGCGCTGGCGTGCGAGGCGCTAGGGTCGCGTTTCTGCCCCCCCCCCGAAGCCTTCAGAACTGTGCTTCGGGTGTCATGATCAATCGTTGTCCAGTAGACTGTCAACGTGGCGATACCCACCCATCCTGTCTCGAGTTCGTGGCGAACGACTAATGTAACGTGCAATCTGTTTTGACATCCTACGCATGTTTCTTAGCAATGGCTGCGAAGAACACGTGATCACGACAATGAACTTTTTTCCGAGATGCGACTTCCTCCGGGTCATTGTCGCCACCACGCTCTTCAGGCGCCTGGTCGATCTGGAGGACACCGATCTGCTTTTGGACGAGTTTACGCAAGTGCGTATGTCGGACTAGGACCGAAAGTTTTTCTCGATACACCAAGCTTGCCTTCATTTCCCCTGCTGTACCTACTTCTACCGCTTGTGGTGCACATGTACCACCCACCACCTTCGCGTAACTGTGCGTCGTCCAACTTAATTAAAACATCGGTTGCGAAATTCATCGAATACATACCCTGCGCAAATCCGCCCCTTGACCCACAGGCTGAGTCCGACGAGTTTCTGTGGAGGATAGGCCCCCTGAACGTTTACAATCCCAAGAAGCCCGACCGCACCTACGACTTAGACCTCGCGCATCGAGACGATCGGGAGGTGTGCAAGGTGAGTGCGACACAGGAATAGCACGACACATGGACAGAACGCATGTCATCTCGGTACGTGAGCTTCAAACAGTATAGACCGGCGTTGCGTGGCGTTGCTCATTCCCACTATTATGTGTTCCCTGGCCGGACCGATGCCAATACCAAGCAGGTATTGGCTAGACTAGCGGTGGGTGAGCCCGGCGAAAATTGGGTCAACGAGGAGTACAGCTGGTCCTACGCGCAAAGGTGAGGGTTTCGAATGGTCGTGTTGCAGTGCTAAAAAAAAACTCCAAGGTTTACTGTGACGTTCAATACCACCGGCACCATGTGAAGCACATGCACGTTGGGAGCAACACATCGCCATGCCGTGCCAGGGGCTTCATCTAGACTTATTCGTACGGCTGCTCATTTTCGCCACGACAAGCTCCGGTAAGTTGAAGTTCTACGAGCTATGTAAATCCTAGTCTGTTGTACGTATTCGTCTAACCGGATTGGATCTCACACCAGCACACACCCTCACGAACAAATCGTATGGCCGCAGTAATTAGTAATGAATGGGTTGTACCCCGGACGGTGTTCGTGCCGCCCAACGTAACTGACTCAAATCTACAGAATGGCGCTGGTGCCAATGTAACTACAGCTGTAGGAAGGCCGGCGGCCCTTGTTCGTGTGGATACGGACTGGTTAGATCTACCGGCAACAACAGAGGGCAAGCAGATGCATATGTACACCTTGAAATGGTTGCATGTGCAGGGACCCCTCGAACTCCAAAGAGGGCTTCACTTCTCCCTACTCCCCTTGCGTGTCTAATACAAGAGATAAAACGTCTCCCCCTTCCAAGTAAAGGACATATACGAACACACTAGTGCCAGTCCTTTGAGGGAGAGTCCATTAGGAATGTCAGGGTCGCAAAGATGGGGGTGACTCCTCCAGCGACTCTGCGGCGGAAGACAGAAAGAGGTCAAGAGAAGAGCTCGTGGCCCTGCGGACGCAAGTTAGCTCGCTGACGGATCAGATGAGCCACCTTATGTCGCTAGTGGAAGATACCATGAAGGCAAGCAAGAAGGAGGAGCCAGCTGGCACCATGGAGGGTGCCGCTGATCGCGGCGATGCTAGGGAGAGCGCCGCCGCGGAGTCCACGAGCGCCGAAGGAGGGGCACCGTGGACCGGGAGTGCGCAGGACGGGAGGTACCTGCGCGAACCTGTTCGAGAGTCTGGCCCGTCAGGGCGACACAGCGGCGAAGCAGGGGGCTTTGTCCTCCAAGAGGTGAGAGTAGCCGCTGTTCACAACCAAGATTATTGTAGTGCCATGGGAGATGGTGGTGCTGCTGTTGGCTTTGGATACGGAGCCACAACCCCAGCGACGGGGTACTAACGTGTGCGGTAAACTTCTCCTCCGTTCAGCGGGAAATCCAGAGATTTCAACGAATGGCTAAATGATTTCCGCATGGTAGCTAATGGCGCAAACCTGTTGGAACAATTTGAGGAGAGCGGGAGCTTGGAGATCCCCGTCAACAGCCGAAAGAGCAAGTTTTCGCTGTCACAGCAGTACCGGAGCGAGCAAGTAGAGCTCGCATTCCACGCGTGGAACTTCCTGTCTAAAGCGTTGAAAGAAAAAGTTCGGAAAATCATGAAGAGGGCAGAGACGCCCCAGGGAGCTCTTCGTGAGCTCAAGACCATACACAACCCTCAATCATCTGTACAGCCGTCAGAGGACCTCAAGTCCCTGACGTCGACCAAGATCTCTAGAGGTGAAAATCCCAAAACGCCCTAAATGAGATGATCCAAACCGCAAAGTCCTCAATCGAGAAAGGACTAACCGTCAACGAAACGTTCGTCCTTCACAACTTCCCGGATGCCCTTTCGGACGAGTATGCCATGACAAAGCACAACCTGCGACACGCGAAGGAGTTGACGCAGACCGGTGTGCTAGAGGAAGTAATGATCGAATACAAGGCGATCAAGGACAAGCTGAAGCAGGGGAAAGGAAAAGGGGCGAAGGGCGCAGAGCAAGCGTACTTCGCCGACGGTGAGGGCCGCAGGGAGCGGTACTCAAGTAGGAGTCAGGGGCAAGGTGGTGGTCGTGGCGGCGGCCGTGGCCGCAGCAGCAGTCGTGGCCGCGGCGGCGGCGGTCGCGGCGGCCGCTCAGGCGGATCCGGAGGAGTCGAGGAGAGCAAAGGAAGCAGCAGTGGAGGCGCCGATGGCGGCGGTGGCGAGGACTATAAGTTCCCGGGCCGGTGCTTTAGGTGTGGACATCAAGCGATCGGCTGCACTACCAACGAGAAGGACTTCGTGCCGTGGTGTGCGCGCTGCGAGGGGTGGGGCCACACCAAAGAAAAATGCGCGACGGAGGAGGCCGTCCTAGCGCAAGTGGTGGAGCATGAGAGCGACGTGGACTCCGTGGAAGACCAGGCGTTTTGTGCCGTGGCAGTCCCCCCAGGCGAGTGTGGTACCGTTGGTGAAGTAGGTCTAATGGGGGTTGTGGAACAAGGCCAGGCAGTGTACTTGGCCGACACAGCGGCCACATGCTCCATGTTCCGATGTGCAGACAACTTCGTGAACTACCGTGAGCGTAGCGGTTGGGTGAAGGGGATCGGAGGCGACAAGGCCCCCGTTCCCCTTTTAGGATACGGAGATGTGACCTTAGTCGTAAAGACGGAAGATGGTGGAGTACCCGTACCAGTGCTGAATGCTGCCCATGTACCAGAGGCCCCCTACAACCTCCTCTCGCTGTCTNNNNTGCTCCATGTTCCGATGTGCAGACAACTTCGTGAACTACCGTGAGCGTAGCGGTTGGGTGAAGGGGATCGGAGGCGACAAGGCCCCCGTTCCCCTTTTAGGATACGGAGATGTGACCTTAGTCGTAAAGACGGAAGATGGTGGAGTACCCGTACCAGTGCTGAATGCTGCCCATGTACCAGAGGCCCCCTACAACCTCCTCTCGCTGTCTCCGTCGGCGGAGGAGGGCCACACCTATTCGGGGAATTAGGGGGCCTCACGCTGACCACGAAAGCCGGGGGGGAGGTGTGGTTCCCCCGGACTGGAAAGCTGCTGACCCAACGAGGCTATCAAATAAAGCCAACGCTACACACCGCCTGTGCCGCACTCATTGTTCCTGGCGATGCGAAAGCAGCCAACCCCACTGACCTCAACGAGTACCACCTCGCGCACGGCCATGCCCACGAGACATTGGTCAGGATCACGGCGGCGCAGCAGGGAGTGCAGCTGACGGATGGACCGCTGCTACCCTGTCTTGGCTGTTCGATGTCCAAGGGACAGGTGAAACCCGTCCAGAAGAGCACGAGCACACGCGCAGTTAAGAAGCTATTTCGCATGTATCTCGACTTGGGGGGAAAGATGAAAACCAGGAGCATTGGTGGCAACTGGTACACACTGATCATCAGAGACGATTTCTCCCATTGGACGCGTGTTTTCTGCTTGAAGCACAAGTCTGACGCAGCGGTTGGGTTTGCGAAGTTCCTGGCGGACTACCGAATGAAAGGGGTTCCGTGTGAGGTTATATCGCACGTGCCGACGGTGGCGGCGAGTTCCAGGGGTAGTTTTCGGAAGTTTGCCGCAGACACGGCATCAAACAAGAGTTCACCCCCCCTCACACCCCAAAACACAACGGTGTAGCGGAGAGAGCGTTAGGGTTGATCGCTGATGCCGCGCTTTCGTCACGCATCCAAGCGACGCAACTGTTCCCCGACGCACCGAACCACCCCGGGTTGTGGGCCGAGGCCATTTCGTGTGCATGCCATCAGCTGAACTGCACCGCCACTAAATCAAACGAGGAAGACAAATCCGCCTACGAGATGTTCCACGACTCTCCACCGCCTGTCGGGTCTACATACCCGTTTCTCAAACCAGCCGTGTTCAAGCCGAGAAGAAAAGCAAAGTCGCAACCCAAGGGCGAAAAAGGATGGTACCTTGGTCCTGCCCACAATCACCCCCGTGACTGCGTTCGCATGCTAACCGAAGCTGGAACCGTAATCACCACACGCAATTTCACCTGGCGCCACGTGCCCACGGCATCGCCCGCTCCCCCGCAGCTGCTACCTCTCGCAGATGACGAGGAGGGCGGGGAGGGCGAGAGCAGAGCGGATGCATCACGCCAAGGTT